GCATAACTTTTTAGAGCCCATAATGAGAGCTGGGGAAGCCTGGCGCCGGCTTGGGAGGACGAGGGGTGGGCGGGGCTTCTGGGAATTTTCGGGGGGGGCTGAAGCCCCAGCGCCCCCCCGCAGATTACGCCGGTGGCCGGCATGACTAAACACCAAGGTGCACGGAACGCTGTTACCTTCCCACCGAAGTGGTACCTATTTATCTACTTGCAATTTCTTGCTTTCGAACTGCTAGGTTGGCAGGAGCTGGAACTAGAGACAGGAGCTCACCCTGTCTTGCGGCACCCGGGTCTTGAACTGCTGAACTACTGACCTTCCACAGCCTGCAGTTCAGCGTCTTAACCACTTGAGCCACCGCAGCTCCCTGGAGAGGGAGTACACTACAACTAAAATATAAGACAAGATTCACACATGAGATTACAGTTATATATATTACTCCTGCAGTGGCAATAAGAGACAAAGAATTCAAACTTCTGTAAAATGAAATTTAGTTACACTAAATTCAAGTGTTTTGTAATCCATTATATTGTGTTTATTTCTTGCACTTCTTCTTCACTTTTGATATCTTGGGTGATGCTTCTCCTTTCTCAGACTGAAGTTTCAGTTGTACTGCTAGAGTCACTTAAGGTATTGTCCAATTTCTTCCTCACTAGGTTCCTCCCCTTCCTCTGTGATTGTTTTATCATCTTTATCTAAGCTTAATTGTTGTTTCAAGAAGCTTTTGGACAGAGTCAATGTAAATTTTTTTTATCGTTGTAGTTGAACATAAGTCCTTCTGGAAAGCTCCATCTGTAAGCAATTAATTTGTTTTGAAGGAAAAGAATTAAGTCTATATTGTCGTCTTCGTTTCCGGATCTCAAATGGAATGTTTTTTAGAATTTTAATTTCTTCCTCCTTGATCTTCCTCCTGGAGATCACTCAAAATTACAACTGCTCTTCAGGTAGCAGAGATCAGTTCCTCTGGAGAAAAAGGTGGACTCTGTGTCATTATACCCTGCTGAGGTCGCCATAGCAAATTGACACTGAGTGCCCAAAGCCGGGGCACTCTCCCAGAGCCTTTTTCTAGAGCTCATTGTATTTATTTCCACAACGGGCCTTATTCTTAGTAGAAGTATAAGAGGAATGTGAGACAGGAAAGAAAACATTACAGTCTAAATAGCTAACCTAAAATACACAGGCTTATGTTATTTTTAAACTGAAAAAAGGCACTAATTAGATCCAGTCATTACAAGGAGAGATACAATGGGGGGTGGAATGAAATGAATCCCATTTCTTTGTTTTGGGCATTAGGCAGTCGTGGTAGCACAAAAAGGGAGAGTTTGCCAGAAGCATCAGGAGCCACTGAAGCTCTTCTGCAAAGATGATGAAGCCCTCATCTGTGTGGTCTGCGACCGATCCAAGGAGCACAGAAATCATGAAACCCTTCCTCTTGAGGAGGCTTCTCAAGAGTACAAGGTAGGAGATCCAAAAGGTGTGTCAGCTATGCTGCCATGATGTTTATGGGCCAGGGTTCATTTGCTTGACCTGTGTGCCAACTGATGCTGCATTCCTTAGCTTCTTGTTATCGCTGACCTTGTAGACTGCCTGTGTAGTGTCTTCCCATTAATTACCCATGAGACTGGTCTCGATTCCCAGCTTCGGCTTCAATGGACCTGGGCCTCATTCCCGCGCATGGGAGTCAGGCCAATTGGCCTAGGGGTGGGGTGGGGGGCGCATACGAATGCCCTATATCTCTATATGCTTGCATTAAGGTAACTATTCCTAACAGTGACTATGTTACTGCCTCCATAGTTCTGGCAACAAAGTATAACCTTATGACAAGCGTGTACTCAATTGTTTGGCTGTGGAACCTGACATTCTGTTAGGAATCCACTTTTATCTACTTACGGGCCTCTCTCAAACTGAGGTGAGCGACGAAGAGGAGAAACCTATCCCCACAACAATTGGGAGTGAGATACCAACCACACAGACCGAGGTGCTGGTGACAACTACGCCACCGGCAGTGACTACCCCGAGGAAGATCCCGGGCTTTGGGGCCGAGGGATGCAGCGCAGTGGTGTCAACACCTAAAAGACTCTTGGCCTCTATTGTGCAAAACAGTGAATGCGGCCAAGGAGGCATATAAGGCTCAGGCTGACAAGAGAAGGGTGACTGGGGTATCGATATCTGCAGCAAGCACTTGGGGGGGGGAGACTTCTCCTGGCTTGCAGTGCTGGTGCAAGTACACAAATGGGGCCTGGACACAGATGTTTTTCTGCCAAGGATTCACTCCACAGTAGAGAGTGCCTTGGACAGTACGGATCATGTCCATGCAGCCAGGGGCTTCCCAACACCAACGGGAACCTGGCGGCCGAGGTAATCACAAACGGACATTCTTCCCGGTGATCCCTCGCCTAAAAGTTCTAGATCTGTGTGAACAACCACGGGCAGACTGCCCACTTGGCAGCCCTCGTGATTGCCTAGGGTGCCAGAGGGCAGGGAGCACCAGGGGCACACGCGTGTGCAGTTCTGCACCATCCCCAGCCCCACCACCCAGGTAACAACACTACTCAGAACTGCAGTGTTAAGACTACCAAAGAGTTGCCTTCACAGGCCTGGGCTGCTGTGCACAGAACTTCCACACAGGGATGCCAGCCTCCAGGTGGGACCTGGGGATCCCCCGGAATTGCACCTCATCTCCAGACTACACAGATCAGTTCCCCTGAGGAAAACAGTGGCTCTGGAGAGTGAATTCTATGGCAGTGTACCAGCCCTGGATCAACCATTCAGCAAAACAAGCTCGTGCCTAGGGCACTAAGGGAGGGGGGGCACCACTGAGTATCTTCTCCTAGATATCATGCCCTTAACTCTTTCACTGCCACACTCAACGGCTACTTGGTGCTAAATAAACAAGTTTTTTAAAAAGTTTATATTTAATATCGTTGTGGGGTCTGGCCTGAAAGAACACTGACTTTTTAAGCCCTTATTTCACCTTCAGCACTTATTGAGTCTTAACATCTTGTCAGTTAAGCAATGGAAGGGCCGAGGGGCACCATTGCTGGGCTGTGCTGAGGGCACCAGTCGGCCTTAATCCGGCCCTGCATTGGACCCCACTGAGGCCCCTGTCCTCCTCAGGCTCCATCCCTAAATCTCCAGGAGTTATTGCTTTGTTCACTCCCCAGCCACAGTGACACTTACGAGCAGGTCTTGGCTTTCCTTCTCTGCGTCACCTTTATTCGCCACAATTCTCTCTCTCTCCGTCTTCAGAATCTCCAGACATTTGCGGAACTGATCCTGTGGGTGGGGGGTGGGGTGGGAGACCCAAAATTGTAATGTGTTCTTTTTTACGGTTTACTCTGCGCTCTTCCTTCCTGCCCACCATTACACACACGCCTCAACCATGAGTTGGGATTTCTTACACTGAAAACAATTATTTGCAGTCAATATATCACTCTATAGCGTTAACACCCCAACAACATATCCAGTACTGTCTACTATAAAAAGAAATGGCAAAAAGCTCAGTGGCAGGGGACGGTGGTGAAAATTAATACCTTCCACACTTTCTCAGTAACCTCTTTTGATACAATCTTTAAAGAATGATTCAAAGCAAATTTGAGGAAAACCTGCAGCAGATCCACAGAAAACGTGGGAGACAAGTGGAAAAACCACAGTGTCACACCAGACTTAAATCCCCTGAAATTTCAGAGGGGGCTATGCAGCAAGAATTCTGTGTTGAAACAACCACAGTTGTGGGGGGGGGGCAGTGTTCCCTCTAAGCTGAGTTAGTATGAGCTAGCTCACCGTTTTTTAGCCTCCGGCCCACATATTTTTGTCTTGGCTCAGGAAGGAGGGGTCCAGAGCAAACTAATTTATACAGCAGCCAAATCACTCACTCACAACTTTAATGCCGGTAGCTCACGAAGTAGAATTTTTGCTCATGAGACTCCACAGCTTAGAGGGAACATTGGGGGGGGGAGAGTCCTTGTAGTGCCACAGTGCAGTGGGAGGGTCGTGGCTCAGTGGTGGAGCATCCACTTGGCTAGCAGAAGGTCCCAGCTTCAATCTCCTGGCATCTCTAGTAGCAGTTGATGTGAAAGACCCCACCAACCTCCACCTTGTCAATCCCTCTAGAGGCAGTGGTGGTGTGGCTGCAAGACCCCCTAATCTTCACCCAAATAGATGGGTCCACGATGAAAGAACCGTGCGAGTTCGAAACAGTTCCATTGCGGGTGGGGGCGAGGGATCACCGGGAAGAATGTCCGTTTGTGATTACCTCGGCCGCCAGGTTCCCGTTGGTGTTGGGAAGCCCCTGGCTGCATGGACATGATCCGTACTGTCCAAGGCACTCTCTACTGTGGAGTGAATCCTTGGCAGAAAAACATCTGTGTCCAGGCCCCATTTGTGTACTTGCACCAGCACTGCAAACCAGGAGAAGTCTCCCCCCCCCCCAAGTGCTTGCTGCAGATATCGATACCCCAGCGATGCTGAATTCAGCCAAGTGGAATTCAGCCATTGCTGATTCTAAGAGGGAAAGTACTTGGGATACTCAGTGGTGTGTAGATCCCCCCCCCCCATTTTTTCTTGCCCAAAATGCAGTCAGGGAAGCTGCAGTTTAGATTGGGAGACGAAGCGAGGGGAAGAGGCTTTTGAGCTCTTTGGCCCCCAGTGTTGTTTCTACTCAGAGATCAGGGGGGAGTCAGCATATGGAGGGTGTTTTAGTGGGGGGACAAGCGGACTCAAGAAGCCCCTTCTACTCTCTGGGTCTTCTGCTGCAGACTTTATCCTCTGGTCCTGGTGAAT